ATTCAATTAAGTTTTAATATAATAAGTACATTTATTTATAGTGTAATAAAAGTTTCGCTTTCATGAGCTTACTCGATAATCATATGAAGTGTCATAGTAAACACAAGCCCTACTCATGCACTGAAGTATGTATTCCATTTTTATCATGTAAGATTAAATATAATAAGAGATTATATATTTTATAGTGTAATAAAAGTTTTACTGCTAAGCAAGGACTCAAGGTTCATATGCAGCGACATACAGGTGAAAAGCCATTTTCATGCACTGAGGTATATATTAAAATTATTTATATTTAAGCTTAAGTATAATACGTAATTATATTTTTTATAGTGTAATAAAAGTTTTGCGTCTAAACAGAGACTTAAGATTCATATGCAGCGACATGCAGACCAGAAGCCACACGTTTGCAATGAATGTGGGAAGTGTTATCTACAGGAAATTGAGCTACGTTATCACAGAAAAACTCATTTACACCCATTTGCCTGTGATCAGTGTGAAGAAAAATTTAAAACTAATAAGAAGTAAATAATTATTTATATTTATAAAAAATAAATTTATTAATAACTTAACTTTGCAGACTTGAACAACATATTAAAACTCATTCATCTGAAAACAAACAGAAAAATGAACCCCAGGGACATAAATTCAAGTGCAAAGATTGCGAAGCGATATATTCGACAGAGGATGAGTTGAAAATTCATCATAACACGGGAATTCATTTAGGTAGAGTATTTTCAATATGTGCAAAATATTTATGATTTAAGAATTTCATTATAATATGATTAATTATTTATTTAAATAATAGATATTTTTCAGGTTAGAAATCTTTATTTAAGTTATTAATTGTTTTCCATAAGTTTTTCACTAAAACGTGAAGTTACGGTTTTAAGATTTAACCGCCATATTTTTGAATTAATTTAAGTATAAATATACAGCATTTATTACTGCACATATATCGAATTAACTCTCATAATGTAAGCGTAAACTAAATATCAATTCAAATTATATTTAATAAATAAAAAACTGAGTTTTTCAAACTTTATAATAGGTTTTATATCTATATATTTTATAACATAAATCTTTTGAATTATTTTAAATAATTTTTTTCTGTATAAAATTTTTACAATTTAAAGATTTGGAAAAACGTCGTAGAGACGATGCGAGTTATGACAAGAAATTTAAGCCATGTTCCAATAAAAATCCAATGGAAAACATTACAAGACCTAAAAGAAAAATTAAATTACCCGTAAAATATCGTGAAGAAAATTCTTCTATTGTTCAAGAATTTATAAAGGATGAAGTATGTGAAATAAGCACAGAGCAAATATTATTAGAAAACGAAGAATATAATTCTATGACACTAGAAAATCAGAGTATAAAAACCGAGCCGGACACCACTGTTCCCGATACTCCAGCTAGTGCATTCAAAAGTGGCGTTGCAGAATTAGAATATATAAAATCAGAAACTAATGAAGCAAATACATAGAACTTATTATTAGAAAATGGAAAAAACACCAAAAACTTTTTTCGAGTATTTAAGAAATGTCTTTGCAGATAATCGATCAGTCGGCGGTGACATTGCTGTATAAAAAAACTAAAAGAAAGGAATGATATATCAACAAAGCTGAAAAGTATTGTTCCTTCAAAGAATCAACAGCTAGAAAGGAAACATGGTTTTACCATTATAAACGATTTTTCTAATAATAAAAAGTATTGCTAATTGCAAATTATTTTAAAATAAAAAGTAATATTCAAAAATTTTATATGGAATAATTGAGTTTAGCAGTATATGTTAGTTAATATGTATGTTTCTTAGTTAATTTTGTTTATAATTATAATAAATAATGGATTATAATTATGTTATTTTAGAAGTATGTTAAATTTGCTGATATTAAGTAATTTGAAAAGTTGTGGAAAATTGTGACTATGATTATTCAAGACGCTTGCGAGAATATGCAAAATCATTGTTTAGAAATCTGTTACAATATAATTCCAAAATTCACCTTTCATATTATTAGTTGTAACGATAACTACGTTAAGTTTTTATTTTGAAACATACTATACTAAACACTTACAATTTTAAAAAAAAATTAATAAATTTAGCTTAAGTATTTAAGTGTAATTTTAATTGAAAATATTACTACAACCTAAATAAAATCATACATTGTGACCGAAAAGTTTCCGGAAATTTTAAATAAAACGCAAAATTCTTAATCTTCATCAATATTTATTTTATCTCCTTCAAAATATGCTCCATTAGAAGCGATACACAAATGCCAACGTTTCTTCCAATCATCAAAACATTTTTTATAGGTGCTTTCCGGTATGGCTTTGAGTTCCCTCTGCGAATTCTGTTTTACGTCTTCTATGGATTCAAAATGCGTTCCTCTGAGTGGTAATTTGAGTTTGGGAAACAGGAAAAAAGTCACACGGTGCAAGATCAGGTGAATACGGTGGCTGTTCGATGGTATTTTATTGAATGTTTGGCCTTAAAATCGTTGATAATGTTGGCTCGGTGCGAGGGAGCATTATCGTCATGAAAAATCCATGAATTATCCTTCCACAATTGAGGCCGTTTACGGCGGATATTTTCACGCAAACGTCTTAAAACAGTCAAATAATAGTCTTTATTGACTGTTTGTCCTTCAGGGACGAATTCATGATGCACCACACCACGAATATCGAAGAAAACAATCAGCATTGCCTTGATTTTCGAGCGACTTTGGCGTGGTTTTTTCGGTTTCGGCTCGTCTTTTCCTCTCCATTCCGATGATTGTTGGCTTGTTTGCATGTCGTACTCGTAGACCCATGTCTCGTCACCCGTTATGATGCGTTCCATGAAAGTTGGATCGGAATTGGCACGATCAAGCATGTCTAACGAGACCTGTCCACGATGGTGTTTTTGGAACAAATTGAGGTGAATCGGAAAAAGCCGAGCGTTGACACGTCGCATACACAAATTGTCCACCAAAATCAAACGAGCCATCTCACGACCGATGCCTAGCTCTCGTGCTATCTCTCTAACACTCACATGAGGATTTTTGAACACGATTTCCTTTGCCTTTTCAATGTTTTCGTCGGTGGTAGAGGTCGAAGGTCGTCCAGAACGCGGCATGTCTTCGACGGTCGTACGACAGTCCTGAAAGGCTTTGTACCACTCATAAACTTGAGTTTTCGATAAAACTGATTCCCCATAAGCCTTTTGTAGCATTCGCAACGATTCTGCACACGAAATTTCGTTCGAAACACAAAATTTGATGCAAACTCTTTGTTCAATATTTTTTTCCATTGTTTTTTTCGCAACGCACTACTGAGGTGAACTGGTTTCAACAGCTGCCGTAAACGAACTGTCTGAAAGATCGCGCTCATTTTTGGCATAGTAATTAAGGACAGTGCTGCCAAACTACATAAACTTAAAATATCGAAAAATATACAGCGCGCGAATTTTAAATGAGAATTTTCCGAAGAAATAAACAGAGAGTTTTCTTACGAAAATTTATTTGTTGAAACATTTTTTCCACATGTATCGAAATCTTCTCTGTCATACATAATCGTTATCATAATCTTTATCGTAATTACATACATATATAATATATATATGTATATATATATATATGCCGGACTGTATGTCAATTTTTTGTTTTACATTATTTAAAGTAATATAAAAATAACATAAAGTCCACTAAAAAACAAATACAATTACAAATATTATTTTGTTATATAACAATTATATTGTATTATAATATAAAATATAATTTTTATATTTCAATTTATGATATAGGAATATAGAAGACATATATAATAATATAAAGTAATTAATAAATGTTATTTAATTTATAAATACAAAAGTTAATTTTTTGACTTAAATTTATTGTTTTAAAATAGTTTTGAATTATTTAATTAAATCAAATAAGCAGATTATTTTTGTGTATTAGATCTGACCACATTAGCCTAAATAAAGATAATAAAATAAATAAGTCTCTGAACAGGTTAATTGATTGATGATCATTGCAATCAATAACACTATCGCTTTACTGAATGAAATCAATGAAAAATATATATTTTAAAAGATACTACTACTACTTCCTAAAAGACATTTGTCTTGCCGTTTAAGTGTTAGAAATAATAATACTTATCAAAATACTTAAGTTTTTGTTTTTTAAGTGACACTATTCAAAGGAACTTGAGCATTGTAAGTTTGTGTAGCTTTGGCTACTTGTGGAAAAAAACGATTAGTTATCACTTCTAATTTAACAGACATGAATTCTAAACCTGGCACTTGCAGTCCGCACAAATTATATTCATTTGTTCCCAGGGAAACATTGGGCAATAACGAACTTTTTCCAACACAAAAAAAGTCACAAATTGTATACCGACTATAAACTAATTAAAAAATTCGAATATTTCCTAAGACCATTGATGATGAGTACTTGGTAATACGCGAAAGAGCGTCAGCCAAATTTCAACAAATTAACTAAAATTTATGTTGTCTTTTCATTTTTATTCGAACCCTTCTAAGAAAAAAACATTTAAAGGATTGGTGGAGGAGCTAATGCTTCGGATTGGTAAACTACGATTGCTTGACGTCGTAATGACAATATAACTAAATTCATTGAACGTCGCTAAGAATGAGAAATCCGCTACGGTTGAATAAATGTATAAAATAAATCTTCTCCGTGTGTATATAAATTTATCTCGTTGCGTAAATTGCAACTCTGAAGTTTGTTTTTTTTTTGTTTGCACTTTTGACACATTTTAAAAAAGTAACAAATATTAGTTGTACTACATAAGAAGTTTTCGAATTTGTTCGTGTTTTCATTTACATAAATATAAATTGCAAATAATATCATCAATAAGTTATTTGGTTTCTCAGTATAATCTCGAGTAAATAATGTACTGAATAAAATCCAATAATAAACTGCCTCAACTTTTTGTTAACCCCATGTCTAATACATAAAACTAGTTATATTACAAATTAAAATTTTCACTTTCGAAATATGAATATATAATTTAAAGTATGATTATTTTAATAATAATAAGAAATTTCACCGTTGAAAATGATTGACTTTCCTTGTTGCTAAAACTAAATGGTATTCGTTCCATTTAAACACTCGCATGAATAAATTGAAAAGTTGACCAGGACAGCTAAAATAAAAAAAAAATGAGTCACGACGTTTTAAAAACCATTTCCATTAAAGACGAAGGAGGCCCAAACATTGATTTTTCATTAACGGATAATGATATAGTGAAATCGGAGGACAAAATTTCTAATATAAATGATAGGGTCCATTTGGATGCTGACGGTACAAAAGAAACAGTTGAGGATCGTACTGAAAAACACAAATGCGACAATTGCTCTAAGTCATTTAAAGTATTTGGTGTAAGTACTGTAATTGTTATTTAAATCAGTTTTTATTTAGGTCTTATACTTTGCTTATACTTTACAGATGCTTAAAAAACATTTAGCTGTGTGCTATTTGAATAGTAGTTATCACTCTCGAAAAGCAGAAATGATAAAAAACATACAGAAAATCGAAGAGGATGCGGTTAAACTGGAGCAGGAGAATATATGCTTTTGTTGCGGTGAAAGTTATGATACATTTCATGTAAGTTTGTCATAATCTGATAATTTCATAAATGTATATAATTAGGATTATTTAATATTCACCAAAGTTAGAATAAAATTATGATTTTGATCTTGCCTTTTGTATAAAAAACTCTTTTTTCAATTGCAAATACAATTAAATATTTTTGTATATATACTCGTTCAAAATGTCCACAGTTAAAATGTTCTATTAACACAAAATTATGAACTTTCTTGGTCTATGTCTGTTAATCACAAAGTAGTTTCTAAATACATATAACGTATTATTTAGACAGTTTTTATGGTCTTTTCAAAATATTTAAAATTATATTGTGGTAGCTCTTGGTAGCTCTTGTAATTTTGTTTATACTCTAATTCATACTTTGTCTTCTTTACAAATTGGTATAGTAAGAACAATTAATCTTAATTTCCATTGCCTTCTCCAGCCATATCATTTGAACATGTACGAATAGTTCATAAAACAAGAAAATTATATCTAAATATGTAAAAAATTTAAGCTTTCTTTTTTATGAATTTATTTATTTTTAATAAAATAATGACTATTATTGATACATTAGCAAATTACTGAAAATATTAATAATATATAATTAATAAAAGATATTTTTTTTGGTTTAACTTATTATATATATATAAAAATACGTCTAACTATTAAAAATATTAGTTAAGTATCGCTTCATAAAATATTTATTGATTATCACAAAATTCTTATAGAGTAGGTCTGTTCCACGAGCTACTCATAGTAAAACTCAATTTGCTTGTGGAATGCACTTGTGTATACACAATGTTACTCAAAGTTACTAGAAGTAGCTCGTGGAACAGACCTTATATATGAAACAATATTTTATTTTACTAATGAAATTGTTTTTAACTCATATTGTTCTTGTGAAGCGTGGAAAAATAAATTGCTTTGATTGCCCAAAATCCTTTAAAACTCAACTGAGTTACGAACGACATATTTTCATAATTCATTCGGAATTCGATGAATTTCCTTGTTCTATTTGTAATGCAAAATTACGGACAGCTACCCTATTGAAGTTACACGAAAAGCAACACGCAAGTCTTGGAAGATTGTGGGCTTGCAAAATATGCGGCAGAGACTTCACGCGCAGTTTCCATTTAAAACGTCATCAAAAGTACACATCGTGTGCAGGAAGCTTAAAAAAAACCATCACTTGTAAAGTGTGTAATAAAGTGTTCTCTGGTGTAGATAGTTTGCGAAAACACTTAAAACGGCATTTTGCCACACAACTGGCAAAAATTAAAGAATTTATGTGCCCTATTTGTAAAAATAGTTTTCCCAGTTTGTCGATTTTAAAGTAAGTTATAATGTAATAAGTTATAAATGATTTATACATTTAAAAAGTCTATTGAAATTACTTTTTAATATTTTGCAGAAAGCATAAACGTAGACATAAAGAAAAACGTTTTATTTGTGACTTTTGTGGCAAGAAATTTCTGTCAGGGTGTCAATTGAAAGACCATCGCCATTCTCACACTGGCGAAACCCCTTATATATGCACTGAAGTAAATATATCAATTATTTTTGTTTAATATTATATAACAGGCATTCATTTTTATAGTGCAATCAAAGTTTTACTACCAAATATGCACTCAATAATCACATGAAGCGGCACACTGGAGAAAAACCCTACACATGCACTGAAGTATACTTTAATTGTAATATTTTAAAATTATATATAATTTTAATAATATATGTTTTATAGTGTAATAAAAGTTTTGCGGTTAAGCTGAATCTTAATAGACATATAAAGCGGCATACTGGAAAAAACCTCTATTCGTGCACTGAAGTAAATATTTGAATTATTTCATTGAAGAATAACATTATATTAAGATACTATTTTAGTGTAATAAAAATTATTCCGTTAAAGGCGAACTTAAAATTCATATGAGGAGACATACAGGTGAAAAGCCATTTACGTGCACTGAAGTAAATATTCCAATTATATTTGTTTAAAATTATATATAATAAAATATGTATACATATTTCTATAGTGCGAACAAGGTTTTACTCGTAAAGGAGCACTCAATGTTCATATGAAGCGACATAGTGGGGAAAAGCCACACGTTTGTTCCGAATGTGGAAAACGTTTTATGCTAGCATATCAGCTACGTTCCCACAGTAAAATGCATGTACGTCCTTTTGCTTGCGCTCAGTGTGAAGAGACATTTACAACTAATAAGAAGTAATTCTATTTACATTGAAAAAATAAATGTATTAATGGTTTGGTTTTACAGGCTTGAGCAACATATCAGAATTCATTTGTCTGAAAGCAAGTTGGCGAATGAGGCTCGAGAACAAAGATTCAAATGCACAGAATGCAAAGCAATTTATGCAACAGAAGAAGAACTTAAAACACATTGTGATACAGAAGTTCATATACGTAAGTTATTTTTAATACACAATAGAATTTTGTTGTGTTGTTGTATAAAAAATGTGTTATTTAGAAATATAGAAACACAGTTGTTATGTTTAGTATTTTCAAGCATTTGATCGCTTGTTATATCTAGTATTAGTTAAATTAGAAGTCTACTGTATATGAAGTATATGAAGTTTGAGAATATTAAGAACAGAATGAAACAAGTTCAAGAAGATTAGGTTGCCCAGCAGGTATTTACGTCGTCATTATGTTGTAAAATTATTGTAGTTTTGTTGTGTAGTAATGTGCTAATGTGCTAACGCTGCTTGCAAATTCACAATGGTTATAGATAGTTAGAGCTTTATAGATTGTAGATTTGTATGAGAGAAAAAATCATAAAATTTGAATTTTATTTAAACTTTTGGCTAAATTTGAAAATCAAGAATTATTTTACTCAGACACATCATGTCTACAAATAAATCTACAAAATTTGATCCACTGTTACAGAAATAAACAAAATAGTTTATTTAACAAATATTGTGAAAGAATATGTCAGGTAGTTGGAAACGTAAGGATATGTGTCAGAAGGAGTCACATTATTTAATCCGTCATCTGCATCGGTGATAAAGTTAAATCTGACACATATATTATCATATTCTTATAAATGTTAACTGCAGGTGTTGTATTTATTCACAAACTGAGTTTCCATAATTTTTCTTTTTTCTTATCGTTATGTAGATATATCACAAATAGTTCTTAAATATTTAAATATATTTTATAAATGATTGTTTTTTAAATGTAATGCACGTTTTTATATAAATATCAGATAAATACACCAAAAACAGCTCCAAAAATGTGAAAGAAAAACAAAGAAACTGTACGCTTTGTAACAAAGAATTTAATACAGTGAAAGCTTTGAACTCTCACCTACTTAAAATACATAGAGAGCATCCACAGAATTTCCTCAGTGCTAAATGTACCCAAAACTTAAAACCAAATAATGTCGCCACGTCATCAGAAAAAAATTACAGAGGTGATAATTCCAACGAAAACCCTATTGAAAATGTTACTCCAACTGATAACAATGTCTTACTATCACTAAAATATGAAGAACTTTCGTCAATAGGAAATGGAGTTATTAAACAAGAATGTATAGTAGATGAAAGAACTGAAACAACTACAGAAAAATTATTATTCAATAACGAAAAGAAAAGTGAAAGGATACAGCCGACACATATGAGTAATAATGAACAAATATCCATCAATAATGAAGTTATTATACAACAATTTATAAAACAAGAAGTACCCGATGCACCTGCAGAGAATTTACTATTAGAAAGCGAAATGTACAATAATATGACAATAGAAAATGAAACTATAAAAACTGAAACAGGATCTGCTGTTACTGAAACTCCAAACGGTACAATTATAAACGATCGAATACCTCTCGAATATGGCGGAGTTTCACAAAAAGTAATAGAAGATGAAGAAACTGAAACAGTTACTGAGCAATTAATTATGGAAAACGAATCAACTGTGTTCAAGTAAGTGATACATAGATAAAAAAAAGAAAATAAATATCATAATTTAAATTTTTACAGTGTTCATAAAAGTAAAAACACAAATGAGCCATATATCAATTGCGACTCTTTTAAAAAGAAATTGCTGAAATTGGGTGTACAGAATGACCTTAATCGTTCTTACAACAGTGAAAACCCATACTCCTGTGCTAAAGTGAATATAATAATTACTGTTGTAAAAATAAACATAATAAGTGTATATTTATATTATTTTATTCTAGTGTAATAAAAGTTTCTCTCTCAAAAGGTCACTGAATTATCATATAAGGTATCATTGTGGTAAAAAACTTAATACGTGCACTGAAGTATATAATTTAATAAATTTTATTTAAATTTAAATAATATAAGTAAAAATATTTTTAATAGTGTAACAAAATTTTTGCTTCTAAGAAAGGACTCAATATTCATATGAGACAACATACTGGCGAAAGACCTTACAAATGCACTGAGGTATATATTTTAATTATTTTCAATTTAACAATCATTATAAGAAGTCTATATTTCTAATAGTGTAATAAAGGTTTTACTGTTAAGAGCTCACTTATTCTTCATATGAACCAGCATACTGGTGAAAAACCATGCATATGTACTGAAGTATATATTTCAATTGTTTTATATAATATTAAAAATAATAATTACATAACTTTTTAACTTTTTAAGTGTAATCAACATTTTTCTACAATGAGCTCACTCAGAATTCATATGAGGCGACATACTGGTGAAAAACCCTACAAATGCACTGAAGTACATATTATAATTATTTTATATTAGATTAAAAATAATAAGTATTTAATTTTGAAGTGTAATCGACATTTTTCTATAATGAGCTCACTCAAAAGTCATATGAGGCGACATACAGGTGAAAAGCCTTACACATGCCCTCAAGTATAGTTTTCAATTATTTTGATTTAATATATAACATAAGTAAATATTGGTTTTAGTGTGAAAAAAGTTTTGCTGTTAAAAAAGATCTTAATCGTCATATAAAAGGACATACTGGTGAAAAACCTTACACATGCACTGAAGTAAATATTGCAACTATTATTATATATAATTTCTATATGTAATGAGTATATATTTTTAACAGTGTAAACAATGTTTTGCTCGTAAGGAAACACTGAAACGACATATGAGACGACATACTGGTGAAAAACCATACACATGCACTGAAGTAAATATTTTTGTTGTTTGTAATAAAGTTTTGATCCCAAGCATAAATTTTTATAGTGTAGCAAAGGTTTTTCCGCTAAGAACTCGCTTAATCTTCACATGAGGCAACATACTGGTGAAAAGCCATACACATGCACTAAGGTATACAGTTCCATTAATTTTATTTAAAATTAAATACAATAAATATATATAATTTTATTAGTGTGAAGAATGTTTTCTTCGTAAAGATCGACTCAATATTCATATGAGGGAACATACAGGTGAAAAGCCATTTTCATGCACTGAAGTATATATTACAATTATTCTCATTTAAGATTAAATACATTAAGAGATTCTATTTTTTATAGTGTAATAAAAGTTTTACTGCAAAGCAGAGACTAAAGATTCATATGCAGCGACATACTGGTGTAAAGCCTCACGTTTGCAACGAATGTAGAAAGTGTTTTCTACGAGCTATTGATCTTCGTTATCATAGTAAAACTCACGTGCGTTTATTTACCAATGATCAGACCGAGCCGGACACCACTGTTCCCGAAACTCCAGTTAGTGCATTCAAAAGTAACATTGCAGAATTAGAATTTATAAAAGCAGAAATAAATGAAACAAATACATAGAACTTATTATTAGAAAATGGAAAAAAAAACACCAAAAACTTTTTTCGAGTATTTGAGAAGTGTCTTTGTGATAATCGATCAGTCGGCGGTGACATTGCTGTATAAAAGCAACAAAAAAGTAACTAAAACATTCTATTAATCAATTATTGTTAAACTACGATTATACAAGTAGAATGGAATAACATCTAAACGAAGTCGAAAAGTACGGTTCCTTCAAAGAATCAACAGCTAGAAAGAAAATATGAAACCATTCCGAACTATGTTTCTAATAATGAAAAGTGTGAACACTGCAAATTATTTTTAAATAAATAGTAATATTTAAAAATTTTCTCTGGTATAAATCAGTTTAACAAAATAAATTGGTTACTATGTATGTTTCTCAGTTAATTTTCATGGATTATGATTCTGTAATTTAAGAAGTATATTAAGTTTATAATATGTTTAAGTTTAGTATTTAAGAAGTATGATATTAAGTAATTTGAAAAGTTGTGGAAAATTGTGACTATGAAACGTTGATATTGTTATGAATGTGCATAATGATTGTTTAGAAATATGTTAAAATATAATTCTATAATTCACCTTTCATATTATTAGTTGTAACGATGATTGTGTTGAGGTTTTATTTTAAAACATACTAAACTAAAAACTTTTAAAATTGTTTAAAACAAAATAAAGTCAAATTTTAGTTTTTAAGGTTTAATTTTAATAAAATAAATAACTACAACCTACTAAATAAAATCATATATACTCGTTTTCATAATCTTAATCGCGATTAAAAAGATAATATATGTATGTATTTACTCTTTTGCCGAATTGTAGGTAGCCATTTATTTTATACTATTTAAAGTACTTCTTCACTATGCAAAGAGCTCGGTGACAAATAAGTTCTCCGGTGTTCTAGTCGAGAAGGGAAGTAGTAATGAAGTTGGTGTCGCAGGCCATAAGATAATGGTCAAGAGTAAAAAGGACTTGTCAATATTGGGCTCCGAGTTATCCAAATGTTTTTGTGAAAAGTTTTGTTAAACAATTAAGATTACACAAAAGTTGCTGTGAAGTACTTAAAAAGCATCCCTAAACTCGCTCTACTGAAAACTACCTTAAAAATTCTTGCCATGTTGCTTGCAAGTTTTTCTCCATAGTGTTTCCATAGAGATCTTCTTATTTCGGTGCTCCTGCTATGCTCCTGCCCACAATTATCATCGAAGATGTTAATCTGAAACAGGTTAGAAGCTGTATTAAAGCAGCTCTCTCAAACGGAACCTATGAATTCAAATGCGTTAATGGCAACACAATACCTATTCCCACAAAAAGTAAGGAAAACTTCTATTAAATGATCAATGGTCTTAGAAAACAATTTATTACTATCCATACTAAGTGTTGAATAGAAATTTTTCCTGCTATAATGAATAACATTCCTTCTTTGTACGATAAAGATGACTTAAAGGCAGTGTTAGCTATAGATTTGTTTCAATTTTTTTTACTCGAATAGTAAAATTCCAGAGACATCCTCTTTAAACATATTTATTAAGTTTAAGCTAGAAGTTAATAACTCAATCCGCATCAATTGATTTAGTTGCAAAACAATTATAATTATGTACATCCCTATACATTTTCTAATTGGAATATATATTTTAATATGCAATTATATACATATAATATATGTTAGTATTTATTGTATATATTAATATATTTAATTATTATTTACATATTTTCAAGAACCGACAATAAATTTGGCAAAAAAATAATATCGTAAAAAATGAAAATAAAATATTCAAAGGATTGAATGAGTTTATGTTACGATAGCGGTAATCTGGATATCGACGGCTATTCTATATCATGATTTACAAAAATACAAAAATTTTTAAATTCTTTGAGTGCAATTTAATGCACGTATTAAAAAAATCTTTCTCTGTGTAAATACGAACTTACACACATCGCTGCTTAAATTGCAACTCTAATGTTAAGAACCAATTTTGAATTTTTTTTGCTTACATTTTTTGACACATCTGAAGTAACAAATACTATTAGTTGGACTAATATAAGGAATTATTGCATTTATCTTTAACTATATAAAATATAAGTCTACATAGTTCTAATTAATAAAACACTTGATTATCTTATTTGTACATCAGTGCAAAGGCATTCAGACGCACTGAAGTAAATTTTTCAATTATATTTTTATAAGATATACAATATAATATGCAGACCTATTTTTTTCAGTGTGAACAAGGTCTTACTCATAAAGGAGCGCATAATATATATATAAGACGAAATAGTGGGGAAAACCACACGTTTGTTCCGAATGTGGAAAACGTTTTATGCTAGCATATCAGCTACGTTCCCACAGTAAAATGCATGTACGTCCTTTCGCTTGTGCTCAGTGTGAAGAGACATTCACAACTAATAAGAAGTAATTCTATTTACATTGATAAAATAAATTTATTAATAGTTTGGTTTGGTTTTACAGGCTTGAACAACATGTCAGAATTCATTTGTCTGAAAGCAAGTGGGAAAATGAGGCTCGAGAACAAAGATTCAAATGCACAGAATGCAAAGCGGTTTATGCAACAGAAGAAGAACTTAAAACACATTATGATACAGAAGTCCATATACGTAAGTTATTTTTAATATACAATAGAATATTGTTGTATAAAAAATGTGTTATTTAGAAACACAGAAACACAGTTGTTATATATATATATATGTTTAGTATTTTCAAGCATTTGATCACTTGTTATATCGAGTATTAGTTAAATTAGAAGTCTACTGTATATGAAGTATATGAAGTTTGAGAATATTAAGAACAGAATGATACGAGTTCAAGAAGATTAAGTTTAAGGCAAAATTCAAAAATTTTTATTCGCTCTTGATACCATCCGAAATCGGTGGCAAGGCCTGGGTTTGTCGATAACATTTCTAGATATTTATTTAAAAGTAAACATTCAACAACAGTTTAATATGGAGCTGTTAGGTTAGGCTAGGTTTGGTCAGTAATGGCTCTTATAAGAGTGGTTTTACCGACTTTGCTGAAGTCGGAGTGCATTTGTTTTGCAGGATTTTATTAGATTACTTCAGGGTTCCTCACGTCGTCATTATAGTGTAAAATTATTGTAGTTTTGTTGTGTTGTAATGTGCTAATGTGCTAACGCTGCTTGTAAATTCACAAGGGTTACACATAGTTAGAGGTTTATAGATTGTAGATTTGTATGAGTGAAAAAATCATAAAATTTTAATTTTATTTAAACTTTTGGCTAAATTTGAAAATCAAGAATTATTTTACTCAGACAGATCATGTCTACAAATAAATCTACAAAATTTGATCCACTGTTACAGAAATGAACAAAATAGTTTATTTAACAAATATTGTGAAAGAATATGTCAGGTAGTTGGAAACGTAAGGATATGTGTCAGAAGGAGTCACATTATTTAATCCGTCATCTGCATCGGTGATAAAGTTAAATCTGACACATATATTATCATATTCTTATAGATGTTAAATGTAGGTGTTGCATATATTCAAAAACAGAGTTTCCATAATTTTTCTTTTTTCTTACCTTTATGTAGATATATCACAAATAGTTCTTAAATATTAAAATAAATTTAACAAATGATTGTTTTTTAAATGTAATGCACGTTTTTATATAAATATCAGATAAATACACCAAAAACAGCTCCAAAAATGTGAAAGAAAAACAAAGAAACTGTACGCTTTGTAACAAAGAATTTAATTCAGTGAAAGCTTTAAATTCTCACCTACTTAAGATACATAGAGAGCATCCACAGAATTTCCTCAGTGCTAAATGTACCCAAAATTTAAAACCAAATAATGTCGCCACGTCATCAGAAAAAAATTACAGAAGTGATAATTCCAACGAAAACCCTACTGAAAATATTACTCCAACTGATAACAATGTCTTGTTACCACTAAAATATGAAGAACTTGCGTCAATGGTAAATGGAGTTATTAAACAAGAATGTATAGTAGATGAAAGAACTGAAACAACCACAGAAAAATTATTATTCAATAACGAAAAGAAAAGTGAAAGGATACAGCCAACACATATGAGTAATAATGAACAAATATCCATCAATAATGAAGTTATTATGCAACAATTTATAAAACAAGAAGTACCCGATGCATCTGCAGAAAATTTACTATTAGAAAGCGAAATGTACAATAATATGACAATAGAAAATGAAACTATAAAAACTGAAACAGGATCTGCTGTTACTGAAACTCCAAACGGTACAATTATAAACGATCGAATACCTCTCGAATATGGCGGAGTTTCACAAAAAGTAATAGAAGATGAAGAAACTGAAACAGTTACTGAGCAATTAATTATGGAAAACGAATCAACTGTGTTCAAGTAAGTGATACATAGATAAAAAAAAGAAAATAAATATCATAATTTAAATTTTTACAGTGTTCATAAAAGTAAAAACACAAATGAGCCATATATCAATTGCGACTCTTTTAAAAAGAAATTGCTGAAATTGGGTGTACAGAATGACCTTAATCGTTCTTACAACAGTGAAAACCCATACTCCTGTGCTAAAGTGAATATAATAATTACTGTTGTAAAAATAAACATAATAAGTGTATATTTTTATTATTTTATTCTAGTGCAATAAAAGTTTCTCTCTCAAAAGGTCACTGAATTATCATATAAGGTATCATTGTGGTAAAAAACTTAATACGTGCACTGAAGTATATAATTTAATAAATTTTATTTAAATTTAAATAATATAAGTAAAAATATTTTTAATAGTGTAACAAAATTTTTGCTTCTAAGAAAGGACTCAATATTCATATGAGACAACATACTGGCGAAAGACCTTACAAATGCACTGAGGTATATATTTTAATTATTTTCAATTTAACAATCAATATAAGAAGTCTATATTTCTAATAGTGTAATAAAGGTTTTACTGTTAAGAGCTCACTTATTCTTCATATGAACCAGCATACTGGTGAAAAACCATGCATATGTACTGAAGTATACATTGTGACCGAAAAGTTTTCGGAAATTCTCATTTAAAATTCGCGCGCTGTATATTTTTCGATATTTTAAGTTTTATGTAGTTTGGCAGCACTTCCTTTTATATGCAAAAATGAGCGCGTCTGTCAGACAGTTCGTACGGCAGCTTTTTGAACCAGTCACCTCAGTAGTGCGTTGCGCAAAAACAATGGAAAAAAATATTGATCAAAGAGTTTGCATCAAATTTTGTGTTTCGAACGAATTTTCGTGTGCAGAATCGTTGCGAATGCTACAAAAGGCTTATGGGGAATCAGTTTTATCGAAAACTCAAGTTTATGAGTGGTACAAAGCCTTTCAGGACTGTCGTACGACCGTCGAAGACATGCCGCGTTCTGGACGACCTTCGACCTCTACCACCGACGAAAACATTGAAAAGGCAAAGGAAATCGTGTTCAAAAATCCTCATGTGAGTGTTAGAGAGATAGCACGAGAGCTAGGCATCGGTCGTGAGATGGCTCGTTTGATTTTGGTGGACAATTTGTGTATGCGACGTGTCAACGCTCGGCTTTTTCCGATTCACCTCAATTTGTTCCAAAAACACCATCGTGGACAGGTCTCGTTAGACATGCTTGATCGTGCCAATTCCGATCCAACTTTCATGGAACGCATCATAACGGGTGACGAGACATGGGTCTACGAGTACGACATGCAAACAAGCCAACAATCATCGGAATGGAGAGGAAAAGACGAGCCGAAACCGAAAAAACCACGCCAAAGTCGCTCGAAAATCAAGGCAATGCTGATTGTTTTCTTCGATATTCGTGGTGTGGTGCATCATGAATTCGTCCCTGAAGGACAAACAGTCAATAAAGCCTATTATTTGACTGTTTTAAGACGTTTGCGTGAAAATATCCGCCGTAAACGGCCTCAATTGTGGAAGGATAATTCATGGATTTTTCATGACGATAATGCTCCCTCGCACCGAGCCAACATTATCAACGATTTTAAGGCCAAACATTCAATAAATACCATCGAACAGCCCCCGTATTCACCTGATCTTGCACCGTGTGACTTTTTCCTGTTTCCCAAACTCAAATTACCACTCAGAGGAACGCGTTTTGAATCCATAGAAGACGTAAAACAGAATTCGCAGAGGAAACTCAAAGCCATACCGGAAAGCGCCTATAAAAAATGTTTTGATGATTGGAAGAAACGTTGGCATTTGTGTATCGCTTCTAATGGAGCATATTTTGAAGGAGATAAAATAAATATTGATGAAGGTTAAGAATTTTGCGTTTTATTTAAAATTTCCGGAAACTTTTCGGTCACAATGTATATTTCAATTATTTTATATAATATTAAAAATAATAATTATATAACTTTTAAACTTTTTAAGTGTAATCAACATTTTTCTACAATGAGCTCACTCAGGATTCATATGAGGCGACATACTGGTGAAAAACCCTACAAATGCACTGAAGTATAATATTATACTTATTTTCATTTATGATTCAACATAACAAATATATATTTTTAACAGTGTAATCAAAGTTTTTCTATTATGAGTACACTCAGGATTCATATGAGGCGACATACTGGTGAAAAACCCTACAAATGCACTGAAGTACATATTATAATTATTTTATATTAGATTAAAAATAATAAGTATTTAATTTTGAAGTGTAATCGACATTTTTCTATAATGAGCTCACTCAAAAGTCATATGAGGCGACATACTGGTGAAAAGCCCTATTCATGCACTGAAGTATAATATTGTAATTATTTTCATTTAAGATTGAATATAATAAATATATATTTATAATAGTGTAATCAAAGTTTTCCAATTAAGAGTTCACTCAATGTTCATATGATGCGACATAAAGGCCAAGAACCATTCCCATGCACTCAAGTATATTTTTCAATTATTTTCAAATAAAATTAAATATAATAATTAGATCTATTTTTAATAGTGTAACAAAAGTTTTGCTGTTAAGCAAGGACTCAAGCTTCATATGAGACATCATACTGGCGAAAAACCCTACAAATGCACTCAAGTATATATTTGAATTATTTTTAATTTAAGACTCAATATAAGAAGTCTATATTTTTATTAGTGTTATAAAAGTTTTTCTATGAAGTGTTCACTCAATATTCATATGAGGCATCATACTGGCGAAAAGCCCTACTCGTGCACTCAAGTATATATTTTATTTATTTTATATAAAATTAAAAATAATAATTATATAATTTTTAAGTGTAATCAAAGTTTTTCTACAATGAGCTCACTCAAATGTCATATGAGGCGACATACCGGTGAAAAGCCCTACTCGTGCACTGAAGTAAATGTTTTAATTATTTTATATATAAGTTTAAATAAAAATATATTCATATTTAATAGTGTAATATAAGTTTCTCTTACACGACCACATTCTATCGTCATATGAAGCAACACACTGGTCAAAAACTCTACCCATGCACTGAAGTATATGTTTAAATTATTTTATTTAATATCATGTATAAGAACTAAATTTTTTATAGTGTAATAAAGCTTATTCTAAGGACAAACTTAAGATTCATATAATGCAGCATAGAGGTGAAAAACCATTCACATGCACTGAAGTATACATTTTAAACGTATTCAATTAAATTTTAATATAATAAGTACATTTATTTATAGTGTAATAAAAGTTTCGCTTTCATGAGCTTACTCGATAATCATATGAAGTGTCATAGTAAACACAAGCCCTACTCATGCACTGAAGTATGTATTCCATTTTTTATCATGTAAGATTAAATATAATAAGAGATTATATATTTTATAGTGTAATAAAAGTTTTACTGCTAAGCAAGGACTCAAGGTTCATATGCAGCGACATACAGGTGAAAAGCCATTTTCATGCACTGAGGTATTTAAATTATTCATATTTAAGCTTAAGTATAATACGTGATTATATTTTTTTTAGTGTAATAAAAGTTTTGCGTCTAAGCAAGGACTCGATATTCATATGATGAAACATACAGGTGAAAAGCTATTTTCATGCACTGAAGTATATTAAAATTATTCATATTTAAGCTTAAGTATAATACGTGATTATATTTTTTATAGTGTAATAAAAGTTTTGCGTCTAATCAGAGACTAAAGATTCATATGCAGCGACATACAGGTGAAAAGCCATTTTCATGCACTGAAGTATATATTAAAATTATTTATATTTAAGCTTAAGTATAATACGTGATTATATTTTTTATAGTGTAATAAAAGTTTTGCGTCTAAGCAGAGACTAAAGATTCATATGCAGCGACATGCAGACCAGAAGCCACACGTTTGCAATGAATGTGGGAAGTGTTTTCTACAGGAAATTGAGCTACGTTATCACAGAAAAACTCATTTACACCCATTTGCCTGTGATCAGTGTGAAGAAAAATTTAAAACCAATAAGAAGTAAATAATTATTTATATTTATAAAAAATAAATTTATTAATAGCTTAACTTTGCAGACTTGAACAACATATTAAAACTCATTCATCTGAAAACAAACAGAAAAATGAACCCCAGGGACATAAATTCAAGTGCCAAGATTGCGAAGCGATATATTCGACAGAGGATGAGTTGAAAATTCATCATAACACGGGAATTCATTTAGGTAGAGTATTTTCAATATGTGCAAAATATTTATGATTTAAGAATTTAATTATAATATGATTAATTATTTATTTAAATAATAGATATTTTTCAGGTTAGAAATCTTTATTTAAATTGTTAATTGTTTTCCATAAGTTTTTCACTAAAACGTGAAGTTAAGGTTTTAAGATTTAACCGCCATAATTTTGAATTAATTTAAGTATAAATATACAGCATTTATTACTGCACATATATCGAATTAACTCTCATAATGTAAGCGTAAACTAAATATCAATTCAAATAATATTTAATAAATAAAAAACTGAGTTTTTCAAACTTTATAATAGGTTTTATATCTATATATTTTATAACATAAATCTTTTGAATTATTTTAAATAATTTTTTTCTATATAAAATTTTTACAATTTAAAGATTTGGAAAAACGTCGTAGAGACGAAGCGAGTTATGACAAGAAATTTAAGCCATGTTCCGATAAAAATTCAATGGAAAATAGTACAAGACATAAAAGAAAAATTAAATTACCCGTAAAATATCGTGAAGAAAATTCTTCTATTGTTCAAGAATTTATAAAGGATGAAGTATGTGAAATAAGCACAGAGCAAATAATTTTAGAAAACGAAGAATACAATTCTATGACACTAGAAAATCAGAGTATAAAAACCGAGCCGGACACCACTGTTCCCGATACTCCAGCTAGTGCATTCAAAAGTGGCGTTGCAGAATTAGAATATATAAAATCAGAAATTAATGAAGCAAATACATAGAACTTATTATTAGAAAATGGAAAAAACACCAAAAACTTTTTTCGAGTATTTAAGAAATGTCTTTGCAGATAATCGATCAGTCGGCGGTGACATTGCTGTATAAAAAAACTAAAAGAAAGGAATGATATATCAACAAAGCTGAAAAGTATGGAAACATGGTTTTACCATCATAAACGATTTTTCTAATAATAAAAAGTATGAAGATTACAAATTATTTTTAAATAAAAAGTAATATCCGAAAATTTACTTTGGAATTAAGTTTAACAGTATATATTAGTTGATATATATTTTGTTAGTTAATTTTAATGGATTATAATTATGAAATTTTAGAAGTATGTTAAATTTGCTGATATTAAGTTATTTGTGGAAAATTGTGACTATGATTAGGAGAATGCTGATTATTGTGATTATTCAAGACGCTTGCGAGATACACAAAATCATCGTTTAGAAATCTGTTACAATATAATTCCAAAATTCATCTCTCATATTATTAGTTGTAACGATGATTATGTCGAGGTTTTATTTTGAAACATACTTAACTTAAAACTTTTACAAGTTTTAATTTTGTACAATTAACAAATGTACAATTGTTAATATAAATAAATAAATTAAATATTAGTATTTAAGATTTAATTTTATTCAAACATATAACTACAACCTACTAAATAAAATCATGCAGTGAAGGAATAAACATAGAATTTTCTTACGAAAATTTATTTTTAAACATTTTTGTCACATGTATCGATATCTTCTCTGTCATACATAATCGTTATCATAATTGTGATTACATAAATAATATATATATATATTATTTATTTTTTTTGCCGGACTTATGGCCACGAGAATTAAAAAAAACGTAAAATTCTAATTTTTAATAATTTTCTTTATTAACGCCTTCAAAGTACTCTCCTCCTGCGGCAATACATGCATGTCAACGCTTGATCCAATTTTCCATACAAGTTTTATATGCCGCCGAAGGTATGGCCTTTAGTTCACGTAGCGAATTCTCTTTTATGGCTTTTATGGTCTAAAAACGCGTTCCTCGCAATGGCAATTTGAGTAGGCGGAAGAGGAAAATGTCACACGGGGCCATATCTGGAGAGTACGGTGCTTGTTTGATGATATTGGTGCAGTTTTTGGCCAAAAGCTACGACACATCCAACGATGTGTGAGCCGGTGCGTTATCATGGTGTGACATCCATGAGTTTTTCTTCCATAAATCTGGCCTCTTATTGCAAATAGTCTCACGCAAACGACGCATAATGGCCAAATAATCTTCGTTATTGACCGTCCGGAAGGAATTTATAGTGGACCACACCACGAATATCGAAGAAAACAGTCAGCATGACCTTAATTTTGGACCGACTTTGGCGTTCTCTTTTCGGTTTCGGCTCACCTTTGAAGCACCATTCGGTCGATTGTTGTTTGGTGGACATGTCAAATTCATAGACAGACTCATCACCAGTTATGATGCGTTCGATGAATGTGGAGTCTCTATATGCGTTGGAAATCATTTCTTTGGTCACATCACAACGATGCTTTTTTTTGAATGAAATTCAGCTTTTTTGGCACCAGCCAAGAAGCGACGCGTTTCAAACCCAAAACATCAGTTAAAATGTGTTCGGCCAATTCATATGAGATGCTCAACAACACTGCAATCTCTCTAATCGGTTCACAACGATTTTTCAACATGATCTGCTTCGCCGATTCAATGTTTTCTACAGTAACAAATGTTATTGGGTGGCCAGGGATCTCATCATGGTCCAAGCTTGTACGACCGTCAATTATGGCAAAGATGAAGAAATGTCTTTAACAGTCATTCTCAGAAATTCATTCACAAAGACAATAGAATATTCTATTGTAACTCAAAAATATGATTTTATGTATATAAAAAGGTATTCAAATGTACTCCATAACGTCGTAACTCGAAAAAGATCGTGTATATATACACATTTTTATTACTATATTTTTAAGATACGGCGGATACATTTAATTAATAAAAATTAATTAATAAAAAAAACATCAAGTTTTGTTGGAACATTATTGCACATAAATAGGCTTCGTGTAAACATGAGTTTCTCTGACTGCTTTAATTGCATCCCTGTCGTGCAAGATCAAGAAATTTTTCTTTTCTTACAGATGTCAATGATAAGGAAAAGACAACAAATGTTTGGTAGATGATCGTGTTAAAAATGTTAAATTTTGTATTGACAATAAATTATATTCGTTTTGTTAATAAAATAGTTATTTGATATGTTTTAAAATTATTTTTCTCTCGACTAATAATATATGTTTTAAAAGTGATTCAGATATTTGTTTTTGCTTCGTATGTAAATAGGTAATTGCAAATGAAGCAATATAAAAATATGAAAATGATTTGTTTGGAGATATTTGAATATTTTTATTATGAAATAAATTGTTTTATAGTAAACACTATTCGCAAATTGTGACTCGGGCAAATTACAACAAGAGACACAAAATCACCTGAGTTTTAGCTTTCATCAAGCCGTTTTTTTTATGAAAAATTGATATTTATTTATCATCAATTATTTTACGTAAAGTTAAATTGACCTGACCCTTGAAATTATTTACGAAAACTGACAGGCTTACCAACACTACGTTATCGAATCTCAGAATGGTCACAGGCTCCTCGGGAAGGTATGCAGATCTGAGGTCAGTTATTGCTTAGTCTGATGAAGTGATAAACAATAATCTAGTCAAAGCGTAGAGTGGGATTATGAAGAAACGGCGCAGTTAATAGAGAGTAAAAGTGCTCAAGTTTACTGACTCAACTAGCCTCAACATAATAAGATCTAAATCGAGATTGACAATATACATTTTATTTTATCACTCATTTTTCGTTAGTATATGCACTATAAGAGATACTCAGTGTTTCTATTAAAAATTAAATGGACAAAGACTAAGGAAATGGCTTAACAATTTTAAACGCTATAATATTAAATAAAAGCGAAAGTTAAGGTTATTCTGGCTGGCGGTAAGCCACACAAAGATCCAATGGTTGTTAGTGATACCAGATAAAGCGAAATCTCTATGTAGGTTTACTATAAGCAAAAATAGGTTGTTAATGTTATTTTTTAAATCCAAGACCTGCTTAGAGCTCCATTCCTAACACGTTCTCTCATTTTTCGAATTCTGAATACCCCAAGAATTTTAAGATTGTTCGTTATAACGTATAACATAAATTTAAGTGTTTTCATATATGAGTCAAAATATCAAATCCTTCCCAAATGCTATGAATAATTAAATATATTAAAAATTAACATTAATAGAATATACAAATTTAGAAGAATAGCGCTGGAATTGTTATCAGTTCCGAAGCTAACCTAAGCTTAACTATTCGGTATCAACTTTAACTTACACTTTTTTTTTTAAATAATTAAACTACATACTTGTAAATTAACTTACGAAATTTTTTTTGCTTCAAATTTAGGGTTTGTATCACTTGCACACTAATGCATTTTCAATACAAATAATGACGATTTTGCCAGTTGCACCATCCCTACAAATATATTTGAACACAGCAATGAGTAACTATCCGCAGGTAAAACAAAAGAAAATGAGTCACTACGTTCTACAAACCATTTCGATTAGAGGCGAAAGTGGTCCTATAACAGATATTATTAATTTTAAGCTAGCTGACAATAGTACAAACAATTCTGAACTTCAATCTAATGAACAGGTTCCCGAAGCATTACCTCCAAGTGCTGAGGAAAATCAAAATTATCGTTCTCAGAAACATATGTGTAATAAATGTTATAAGCCATTTAGTCAGTTTAATGTAAGTTTTAACATTTTTATTATTTTAAAAATAATTCTATATTTGTTTTAATTTAAATAGGAGCTTAAAAATCATTTGGCTTTTTGTCACTTTGAAGGCGGTTACCATTTACGAAAAGCAGAAATGTTGAAAAATATTGAGAAAATTGAGAAAGATGCAACTAATATGGAGACCAATGATATATGCTTTTGTTGTGGAGAAAGTTATGATACATTTCATGTAGGTATTTAAGTATTTTGCTAATATTAATAAAAAAAATGTATTTTCTTTTTTAAATGTATATCCACAACCTTTTAAAAAATTAAATATAAACATTTTTATAAGGTAATAGACTTAACGAACATAATATTCATTGATAGTATCAATGAAAATATTAATATAATTCACATACTCAAGTTGTTTATTAGTGATAAAAACTGCGTGAGAATTTCATGACAATATATTTTTTAAAAAAACAATAATACGACGATATTAGTAATTTTAAATTAATATTGTAATTTTTATATTTAGTTTCTTCTACATATATTGTATATAGTGTATAGTGTACAATATTTGCATTTGTTTCCAGCTAGAAATCTCAAAGAAACATTCTTTCAATTTATCTAATTTGAATAATTTATTTAAATCTCAAAACCTTATTTGGTGAAACCATAAAACTGATATCTCAATAATGATCACTATATACCAAGTATTCCTGTTTTTTACAGTTAAATAAAATTTACCATAAGGATTATATTTTGATTATAATGCTAATTAATTCATTAATTCTAATTAAATTCATTAATTCTAATTAAATTCATTAATTCTAATTTAATAAGGCCATACTGGAATCAGTTGCAACATTTCAAGTTTTACGACCCGCTTAGACCGAAGGCGCTTCTACTCGCACAAAGTATATTTCTAAAATATATATGTACAGATTTTAAATGAATTAACTAAACTTTAACATTTTGTAAACCAATTATGAGTTTACAACAGTAAAGAATATTTTGTAAAGTATCTTTTTCTTTTTGATGTAGATATTTAAATATAATTAATTATCTACACATTATATCTGACATTTTTATAATTACTATTAATTATTTATCATATAATCATACATAACATCAATATAACGTGATAATTTTATTAATATATCTGTAATGTAAATGCGACTTTTACATTATTTACTACATTAATTTTTCAAAAAATATATTCTTGATTTATATATCAGTTTAAAAAAAGATATTAGAATTAATTTGAGTTATAAAAAAGTAATAAATTTATTAAATGAGCCTATCAGATCGTTTAACTAATATTCACATTTTAAAAGTAGTGTTCAATCTCTTATACGTTCTCAAATAAACGGAATAGAAGTTAAGTATTATCATAAAATTCTTATACAAAAAAATAATTATCAATTATTAGACAAACAATTTTAAAATGTTCACATTTTTTAAATCTTGTCTTGTTTTTTTTTAGTTGGGTCAAATAAATTGCGATCATTGCCCAAAATCTTTTAAAACACAAATGAGTTACGAACGACATGTTTTCATAACACATTCGGAATTTGATCAATTTCCTTGTTCTATATGTAATGCAAAATTGCGGACAGGTCACCTATTGAAGCTGCACGAAAAACAGCACAAAACTCGTGGAAGGCTTTTCGCTTGTAAAGTATGTGGTAAAGATTTTGGACGTATAGACCACTTGAAACGGCATCAAAAATATACAGCCTGCTCAGCGAGTGCTAATGACACCATTAGTTGTAAGGTGTGTAATAAAGATTTTTCCCGTCTTGATAATTTGCGAAAGCACTTAAAGCATCACCTGTGTATACAACTAACAAAAAGAGAGAAATTTATGTGCCCCATTTGTAAGAATTGTTTTTACAGTTTATGGAATTTGAA